AGAGCAGGAACCATCCTACTGAGCTTGCTTTGACTGATTTCACAATCATTGTCTCTTAAACAGACAGCAAGTGCATTTATTTCCATGTGTACTGAGAGAAATGTTGCAGTGAAATATTTTTTTCAGAATCTGTCATAATATCACCTCCTGTTATTTACATGTTTAATGATTTTATTTGATTTGATTTTTTTTTAATCTTAAACGAGACAGAACTTGTTTCTTCATATATATGACCTAATAATAAAATATTGATACACTTAGTTGAAGAAAATGTACAAATGGCAAACATGAAAGATTTTCCTAAAAGATTAGGGAAATGCAAATTAAAACCATGATGAGTTGCCACTAAACACCTATGGTAAAATGAAAGAAAAAAAAAAGCTGAAAAGAAAAAACACCAAATTCTGGCAAGGATGCAACAAAAATGCATTACTAAGATATTGCTGATGGGAATGAGAAATGGTACAGCCATGCTGGAAAACAGGCTGACAGGTTCTTTAAAATTGTGCAATTACCATAAAACCCAATGGTTGCACTCCTCAATATTTATACCACTGAAATGAAGACTTATGTTCAAACAATAACCTGTGCATGAATGTTTATAAAAATTTGGTTCATCACAGCCAAAGGATGGGAACAAATGAGACGTCTTTCAATGGGTGAATGGTTAAGCAAATTGGGATACATTCATACCATAGAATACCTCTGAGCAATAAAAGGACTACTGATGCACTCAACAGGCTGGATGAATCAACAGAGAATTATGTTGTATAGAAAAAGGCAATCTGAAAACCCTGTATACAGTATGTCTCCATGTGTATGCAATTCTGGAAATGGCTTAAGTGTAGAAATGACAAGGAGATCAGTGGTTGGTGGGAGTTAATAAGAAGTTAAGTGTAGGAGGGAAGTGGTGTGGTTATAAAAGACAACACAAGAGAATCTCACGATGATGGAAATGTTCTGTTTTGATGGATGCAATTGGCATAAGGAGTAATAGAACTAAAATAAAGATTAAACAGGGGCTGGGGATGTGGCTCAAGCGGTAGCGCGCTCGCCTGGCATGCGTGCGGCCCGGGTTCAATCCTCAGCACCACATACAAACAAAGATGTGTGTCTGCCGAAAACTAAAAAATAAATATTAAAAATTCTCTCTCTCTCTCTTTCTCTCTCTCTCTAAAAAAAAGATTAAACAAAATAATGGATTATTACAAAACTGTTAGCAATAATACCGTTTGCTTTGACAGATTCCTCAACCCTTGCCTCAGACAGCAATGTGTATGTGCCTTTGGACTAGTGAGAGAAATGTTGCAATAAGATCTCAAAGAGATGGATCTTGTTTCTTAATCTGATGGGAGGGGACGGGAGGGGAAGGAGGGATAGGAAGGACAGCAGAATAAAATAGACACTATTATTGCTGTATGTATATACATGACTGTATGACCAATGTGATTCTGCAACATGTACACTCAGAAAAATGAGCAATTATACCCCATTTGATTCAAATGTGTGATCTGTCAAGATCATTGTACTGTCATGTGTAACTAATTAAATAAAAATAAAAAATAAAAAAAATGACTGATAATAAAATGTTGAGTTTAAAGGTGTGATGTTTTAATTATATTCATGCCATATTGTTTTATTGATGTCTGATAGTGTTCATTTTCACTGTTTCTTTTTATTTTTATTTTTCAACTAAATTTTGTTTCTAACTAAAGTTCTTTTCTTGGCCATATTGATATTATTTGATTATGGAATGGAAAATCTTTCAAAGACATGGGAAGCTATGAATCATCAGTATTCTCAAAAGAAATTTGTTAAAGAATAGGAATGGAAGACCCCAGGCTCCTCCATACACTTCACAGAAGAAGAAATACAATTGATCAACAAATATGTGAAAAAAGTGTTCAACATCTCTAGCAATTAGAGAAAGGCAAATCAAAACTACTCTAAGATTTCATCTCACTCCTGTCAGAAAGACAATCATCAAGGATACAGGTAACAATAAATGTTGGTCAGGATGTGGGGAAAATGGTACACTCATACACTGCTGGTGGAACAGCAAATTGGTACAACCACTATGGAAAGCAGTATGGAGATTCCTCAGAAAACGAGGAATGGACCCAGCTATCCCACTCTTTGGTTTATACCAAAGGACTTAAAATCAGCATACAATAGTGACACAGCCACATCAATGTTTATAGCAGCTCAATTCACAATAGCTAGACTATGGAACAAACCCAGGTGTCACTTAATAGATGAAAGGATAAAGAAGATGTGATATATGTACTCAATGGACTATTATTCAGCTTTAAAGAACAGTGAAATTATGGCATTTGCCAGTAAATGGTTGGAGTTGGAGAATATCATGCTAAGTGAGATAAGCCAATCCCATAAAACCAAAGGCCGAATGTTTTCTTTAAAATGTGGATGCTAATTCACAATAAGACAGAAGGCACTAGGGAAGAATAGCATCACCTTATATTAGATAGAGGGAAGTAACGGGAGGAGAGAGGAGGGGATGTGGAGGTAGGAAAGATAGTAAAAGGAAACAGACATTATTACTGTTTGTATATATGTGACTGCATGACCAATATGATTCTGCAACATACACTCAGAAAAATGAGAAAACATACATTTATGTATGATATATCAAGGTGCATAAATGCATTCTACTGTCATGTATAATTAAAATAAATAATAAAATTTTTTAAAAAAGAACAGGAATGGTACAGTCAGAAAACTGCCTTGGTGCCAAGCTTCACTGGGTGAGATCATGAATCTGAAATTCATTTGTCATGGTGAGAGGCCCATCTAAACACCACAGTACGAGTGCAGTATAGCTACTGGTACTTCTAGACTTCCTACTGCCCTTCTGGGGTGTGGCCCTGCACTCATTCTCAGTGGTTTTCCATTGCATCTGAACTTCAACTTGAAATGCCTGGTATCACTGACTTAATGCATTCTTATCCATATCTTTTTTTTTTTTTTTAACCAGGCATGATGCTTTAATTTTTCAGAAAAGCTATTCAATCACATAAGGGCAGTCCACATCTCATCCACAATTTACATTACTTCATAAGTATTATCATTACCTAAAAGGCTATGATTTCCCCAGATTATAATGTTTATAATATTTTCTTGGTCTTTCCCTTGGGATGATTTTCTTGTTCTGTTGATTATTTTGTTGAAGTACCTTTTCTTTTCCTTGTTGAAGTGGCATGAAGAGGACAAGTGAAGCAATATGGTCGCAGGAGACATTTGATTTACTTATCTGAATATGACCAAATTGGCCTGAGATGCAACATGTCTGCAGGATCTAAGACTGTGCCAAGAGTGCAGGCTTGGGGTACAGGTCTCAAGCTAGTCCAAGTCCTCCCCACTTGCAACCTCATCCTTTCCTGCCATTCTCACCCTTTCCTACTCCTCCAGGCTTTCCCCAAAGGGAGTGTTTACTTGTAACTCCACCTCTGACTAGGAGCTTCCTCATTTGCTTATGATATATTTTTTAAGTGCAGTATTATTAACATGAAGGGAACTGGGGTGAGGCTAGCAGAGTTTAGTCTCTGCCATGTCTGGTCAACAGCAACTGATTTCACAGCCAATCTCCCTCTTGACATTATAAGAATGTAAACATTTCCCTGTCTCCTCCTCTGCCTTCTCTTTATCTCATGAATTTGTGATCTGCACATTTTCACTGAATTTACTGATTTTGTGTGTGTGTGTGTGTGTGTGTGTTTGTACCTTCCACACCCACATTACTATTCTCCGAGACTGAAAGTTCCCCTTCTGATCAATACTACCCAAGATAGTAGTATTGGGCCTCCTTGGGTCCTTCCTCTTATTTCCAACTTTAGGTTGTGAGCTCTTTGTAGGAAGTTCCTGCGCCACACGTATCTTGATATGATCCTCAGAGCCCAACAGTGGGGATCACTCATATCATTGTTATCAAATTGTTATCTTCTTGTAATTGAATTATTGTTGGTTAAATGAGGTAGATTATCTTATTTTGAAAAATAGGTAAAGTCCTTTCTATAAATATAGGCATTATATTTTATTTGCAAAATCAGTGCTCTTTTATTTTTGAATTGACATGTAAAAGTTGTATGTATTTATGGGGCATCATGTGACATTTCTTGATATTTGTATATATTTCTGTAACATTCAAATCAGGGTAAGCATATCTATCTCCTCAAATATTTATCATTTCTTTGCAGTAAATACACTCAATATCCTTTCTTCTAGCTTTGTTATTTTAAATATACAGTATATTGTTGTTCCCTGTACTGACCTTATGATGCAATTGAATATCAGCACATCTTTCTCTTATCTAATTAACCTTGGCACTTGATGACCAACCTTTTCCCTATTTCTCACCTCCTTGTTTTCTCCAGTCCCTGGTAACCACTTTTCTATTCCCAACTCCTATTAGATCAACAATTTTAGATTGCACATTTGAGTGATAGGGTATGGTATTTTTCTATCTGTGCCTGGCTGATCTCACAACATAATGTCTTCCAGTTGCATCTATGTTGTCACAAATGACTGGATTTCATCCTTTATATAGATAAATAGTATTCCAAATCTTATATATGCCACATTTTGTTTGTCCAGTCATCAGTTGATGGACAATTAGGTTGATTCTGTTTCCTGACTACTGTGAATGTTTCTTTTGGCCACAGAAACCCAAACTTTTCTTCTCCTTGAGAGAAATAATACCTGAAAATCATGGAAGGAAGGCACAAGAATTTATGATCTTGAAGTTATTTTTATTGAAGAATAGTTAACACATGATTATGAATGCCAAGAATAACTGGGGCTTCATCTAATTGCATCATATATCTGAGGTTGGGATATAGTGAAGGGATCTATGGGAGATATTAGTGGTTTTTAATGTAGAAGGATGTCTTTATGCCAGTTTCTTACTGGACAGGGGGATGATAAAGCTGGTGGCCAGGCTCTGTGATGATGGCTAGCTCATGGCTGGTAGTCAGAAACAAGGTTCAACAAGAGGATCCACAGCAGCTGGGGCGGCAACAGGTAGTCCTGCAGCAGGTGGTCTGGCAACACTGGGGTCTGCAGCAGTGGGGGCGGCAGCAGCTGGACACACAGCAGGTGGGGCGGCAGCAGGTGGTCTGGCAACACTGGGGCCTGCAGCAGCTGGACCCACAGCTGCTGGGGCGGCAGCAAGTGGTCCTACAGCAGGTGGTCTGGCAACACTGGGGCCTGCAGCAGCTGGATCCACAGCTGCTGGGGCGGCAGCAACTGGACACACAGCAGCTGGGGCGGCAACAGGTGGTCTGGCAACACTGGGGCCTGCAGCAGGTGGTCTGGCAGCAGCTGGGCTGGCAGCAGGTCTCCTGGCAGAGGCCTTCGCCACAGCCCTGATCAGAGCAGACAGAGCCAGAACAGGAGTTGACCATGGTGTCAGAGGGTGGATGTTCTGGGTGGGTTTCTAAGAGAATGAGTTTCCCAAAAGTGTTAGTCTCCTAATTCCATGTCCACTTTTATACCCACCTGCTGACACCATGTTAAAGATTAGTTCCTTGTTATTGTTTATGTTCATAGAGAAGTGATTACAAGATTAGCTAATTGTGGGAGAATCTACATAAAAGTTAGATAGAGTGCATGTTTTCCTTTCTCTGACTATGTATGGTTTATCCAGTATCTTCCCGAGTCACCTCTTGTCTCTTGCCTACTTCCTTATGTGTATCATCTACTTTCAAAGACTCTTGATCTTACTCATCAGATTGGTTGTCACGTGACAGATTCCATGAAATCCAGCATTCTGTGTGTCATCCTGAAGTCTGTGTCTCATACCAATCCTCTAGTGGAAGAGTTTCTCATTTTCTAAAGGTTCTTTTAAGAAAATAAAATAAACTATGAAAGTACTAGAAGAAAAATTGGGGAAAAATTAAGATGTTTAAAATAGAATGGCTTTTCTACTACAGAAAAAAAAAGTTAATAGCAATGAAGAAAAATATTGGAAAATTTTAAAACAGAAAAGTTTTAAATACCTGTTTTTACAAAGTAAACAAAATGTAAAACATCTAAAACATAAACAGGGAATAAATAACAAGTACAGTAACTAATTTAACAGAAAATGGGTGAATGCCTGGTATAACCCAATATGGAAAAAAACAAATAAAAACCCAAATAGAAAATTGAATAAAGAACATTCAGTCATTTCATTAAAGAGAGAGAGAGAAAGAGAGAGAGAGAGATATTTAAATGTCTTTTGAACTTTTGAAAGCTATCCAGTCTATCACAATGTTTAAAATGTTTAATTGAACACTTTATTCATTATAAACCATCTTCTGCCTACATACAGTTTGCGCAGGTCCTGCCTTAAGCTCTGGAGATACCTCAGTGAATTGCTGTTATTTGTAATGAAAAATATAAAATATTTAAGTTTTAAAACTTTAATGAATTCATGATGTTATAAGGAAATACATTTTCACTGAGATGGCAAGGGTCTAAACAGGGGCAACTTCTTCAGATGATAATTTAGCTTAAATTCCATAGCATCTGAAGAGTATCTTATATTAAATTCAATGATATCTTGATTTATTAGAGTTTCAAATGTGCATAACTTTTGATTGAGCAACTTCCCTTCTAGAAATGTGTTGAACAGCATACATGTGTACTAATCCATGAGTTCTCGTAGCATTGTTTATGAGAGCAAAAGCTTGATTTTAAGTTCCACTTTGCTTATGGAAGAGACTGTTCTTAATGAAAGAAATACAGTGTGTGGAAGTTACGGAGCATCATTTTTTTCAAAGGAAACAAAAGCTCTTTGAACTAGTCTTGAAATTTTTTAAAAAGTTAAAATTAATTTAATTTTTTTTAAAAAATGAAGTGACCTTACTTTATATCCTCCCTATTCCCAGGCAGGCACCAACTTTCCATTTAGATTATTGGAATACCTGAGTGTTTTTAAAAACCTGACTGTTTTTACATGGATTATTTATGGGAGAGGGGAGAAGGGAAATAAAGAAAATGTTCAATTGTGCTGTTTTCTTGTTATTCACATTTGATTTCATTGCATTTTGGTAACAGAAAAAGCCTTTCATTATTCCTGCTGTTGTGATTTTCTCTGTAGCCTGATATATTTTGTAAATATTCTGAGGGTCTATGATAATTATGGAAACTCAATTTGTTAGGCATAAGGTGGTATATAAATATCCACTGCATCGATATTGATAATATCCTTGTTTATTTTTCTTCTTAACATGACCAGTTTTTTGCAATAGTGTGTTAGGGTTTCTGCTATGATTGTGGTTTTCCCATTTTCTCCTGTGTTGAAAAGTCCAGGTGGGGGGCATTGCGGGTGTGTGTTTGATTTCTCACATTTAGTTTGAATATAGTTCAAGTGCTTATAACAGGAAAGTTCCTAGGCAGACATGGTGAAGATTTGGGCCTACTGTTTCTTCTATTAGGTGCAGGGTCCACAAACTTATTTCTTTCTACAAAGCTTTTTGCAAATACTCTTCACACCTCTGACCAATAAGGACCTCCTTCAAGGGTTTATCAATGAAAGGAAACTAACATCTTCTCTTTTCTGATCAAATCAACCACAATTAGTCACCAGCAAATAATATGAACACTGTTCATGTTTCTGGCACGGCCCTTCCCTAGAGGAATCTGTTCTTTGATGTCATGGAATTGGCCTCTCGGTACAATTTCATTCATTTTAGCAGAATTGGGTATTAAGAATCACCCTTGTAAAACACATCAGGTTGAGCCATATTTCCTGGGCTCCCCATCTATTATGGTTTAGGCATGACGTATCAGCTAAAAAATACTGTGTGAGACAATATAGGACAGTTTGGAGGTGATATGGTTAGGTTATGAGAGTCTTGATCTAACCAGTGCATTAATCCCCGATAGGGATGAACAGGTGGTAACAGTAGGCAGATAGAGAGTGAATGGAGGAGGAAGTTCCCAGATGTGCCCTTGGTGCATTCATTTTGTCCTTGTTAAGCAAAGCGCCTCCCACCCATGTCCCCTTCCTGCTGCCATGTTCCCAGTTGGTTTCCCCCACCATGCACTTCTGCCATGATGCTCTGCCTCATCTTAGGCATGAAGAATGGAGCTAGCTGTCTATGCACTGACCCCTCTGAAACCGTGAGCCCCAAATAAACTTTTCCTCCTCTGAAAATCCATGTCAGGTTTTTTTGGTCATAGCAGCACAAACGCTAACTAAAACACGATCTTTGAGGCAATTTAGTTTCCTGACATGAATATTGTAAGAGTAAGATAAATTTGTACACTGTCTTGAGAATTAAGGCAACCTTGCAATGGGCGTATACATTTTTGATCCCATCATATTCTCTGGGTCAAAAGGAAATAAAACAAATCCTGGTGTCCTGTGAGATTAAGACAAACAAGCTAAAGGAAAATCAAACACAGAGTTTACATGGAAAGGAGGGAAATGGCAGGAAGAAGAAAATGAGAAGGAAGGACACACTATTCAAAGGGAACCTGGGTGTTAGGTTGGTTCCCAGGTAGAAGAACCTAGATCTTCTGATGAAAAGCTGAATCATGAAGAGACCCAGTGCCAGGGCTCATATAGCTGTAGGGGAAAATTAAGGGGTTCTAACTGTGGTCACCTCCTGCCTGCACGGGCCGTGGGAATGGGGTCCTCATGGTGGAATGGGCTGACTGAGAAATAAAAGCTGGGAAAAATAGAATGGTGGAAAAAAAACCCACAGAACACAGTAGTTTCAAAATAAGGGGCAGGACGGGCAAGCTGATCAGACAGATCAAGCTTCCAGACAAAATGGCCCTGTGCCTGCTTTATTTATATTGGGAAACATCAAAGAGATTCTATAGAATGTTCTTCCCCAAAAGGTTAAAGGTGGGCTGCTCAGTTCCTAATGGTTTACGCCCGTCTCTGGAGCTACTACGAGGAACCTTCCTAGTAGAGCCAAAGAAAAGTTCACGTGCATTGGGCAATCTATTTCCGTGGGAGACTCACAGAAAGTTCCCAATGCCAGGCCTATTTCTCCCTGGCCATGCTGAGAAGATCCTCATGTATTTCACAGATGGTTTCCCACAGTTACCTTCTTAAGAGATGCACAGGTGTTTTGCATGAGTTAACCACTCAACGTTTCCTACAGGATGTGTTTGGAATTTTAAACTTTTCCATAAGGGAATGGATGGGTGAATTACTAGTTAGGTCTTACTTCATGTAGTTATGTGCTTCAAGGGTCACAGCATAAAGCTGATTACTGTTCAAAACCTGCTAACATTCATTTTATATACTTACCCAGGTTACATTATCATTTAGAGCAAGAGGATAAATCTTTTATACTAGTTTCTACATTACAGATAGTATCTGCAGTCTCCCTAAACTTGGTTTTTACTCATCTCTGTGACTCATCAACACCACCTTCTCTACAGAACTGCTTCTCAAAGTTGCACCCAGGGAAAACAGATGGAGAATGGAAATGGTTCTGACCTCTCACCAAGCTAAGCTGGAACTGTTAGGTGACCAAATACTACATTTGATTTTAAAACTGAGGCTTAGGGCTGGGAGTGTAGCTTCGTGGTACAGTGCTTACCTAGCACGTGTGATTCCCAGCACTGCAAAATCATTTATTAATTAAAATGTATAAATAAATAAAGTGAGAATTAGTGTTTAACTGATGCAGAAAATGATGACCAATTTCTCATTTCAGGAAAATAGTTTTGACTGGCTATTTACCCATTAGAAAAGCAAACATCACTTACTCAAATAAAATTCATTATACTTAAGGAACACCTTCCTCTTTGGAGCATTTCCCAATAGATTAGTATAATTGGCATAAACAATAACAAAGACAAGTTCTGCTCATTGGTTCCAAGTTTGGGGTACCATGTATAAAAGGTGCAAAAGCAAAGAAAACATCAGATTCTAGGAAAGTCTCCTGTGAACAGGATCCACCCTCCACACCTGCCACCATGAGTGACTGCTGCTGCTCCCCTTGCTGCCAGCCCACCTGCTGCCAGCCCACCGGCTGCAGGACCACCTGCTGCAGGACCACCTGCTGGAAACCAGCCTGTGTGACCTGCTCCTGCACACCCTGCTGCCAGCCCAGCTGCTGTGGCTCCAGCTGTGGCTCCAGCTGCTGCCAGCCCTGCTGCCAAACCACCTGCTGCAGGACCACCTTCAAGCCCACCTGTGTGACCAGCTGCTGCCGCACACCCTGCTGCCAGCCCTGCTGCTGTGTGTCCAGCTGCTGCCAGCCTTGCTGCCAGCCCAGCTGCTGTGGGTCTAGCGGCTGTGGGTCCAGTGGCTGTGGGTCCAGCTGCTGCCAGCCAGTTTGCTCTGGACCCGTGTACTGCACAAGGAGATGCTACCACCCCACCTGTGTCTGCCTGCCTGGTTGCCTAGGCCAGGGCTATGGATCCAGCTGCTGCCAGTCTTGCAGTTGTTGATCAATTTATCACAGACCCTGCTTGCCTGCCCCACTTTGCATTATCAGATCTGCCATATACCATAATATGGCAAACCCACTCCCCTTTCTCTACTAGTAATGCCCATACTGTCATCAAACCGTCATCATCTTGCTAACAGATTCTGAGCTTCCTCAGCAAGTACAGTCTTATCTACTTTTGATATTCTCTTCATTTAGTTTGCTGCTTGTCAATGTCATCTCTTCTTGATCTGGATCCATGGTCTCAGTCTTTACTTACACATCCATTGATTTACATATTGCCATACTAGTGTCTGTTGTGCTCCGCTGCCTTTCCCATCCTCCACCATCCCCCCTCCCCACCTCTCCCCTCCCCTCCTCTCCTCTCTCTCTACCCCCTCCACTGTATAACCCTGAGGGTCTCCTTCCATTTCCAAGCAATTTCCCTTCTCTCTCCCTTTCCCTCCCACCTCTCATCCCTGTTAAATGTTAATCTTCTCCTGCTCTTCGTCCCTACTCTGTTCTTAGTTACTCTCCTTATATCAAAGAAGACATTTGGCATTTGTTTTTTAGGGATTGGCTAGCTTCACTTAGCATAATCTGCTCTAATGCCATCCATTTCCCTGCAAATTCTATGATTTTGTCATTTTTTAATGCAGAGTAATACTCCATTGTGTATAAATGCCACATTTTTTCATCCATTCGTCTATTGAAGGGCATCTAGGTTGGTTCCACAGTCTTGCTATTGTGAATTGTGCTGCTATGAACATCGATGTGATTATTGACTTTTTAAGCTAAGAAAAAATTTTAAATTATAAAGAAAACACTCAGAACTAACTTTCTCATTAGGTCTTTGTGATGATACATACCAATCATTTTGTTTTGATGACTCATTTTGCAATGCTTTCATGACAACTCTGTTTTGTCATGTTAGTTGACAATTGGCTTCTTAATAAAATCTTCATTGTTTTACTTCCTATATTTTGTTTTGTTTCTGTGATTGTTTTGCATTTCACGTGTGTTACCTTATCTAAGTCACACAATGGTCCCAAACTTGGGCAGAACCAAGATGAGTAAAATGACTTGGCAAAATGTCATATACCTAAAGCTGGACAGAATCAGGTCCAGGATCCGGGCTTTCTGATTCCAGTTCTGGTGCAGTCATATGTACAGCTTAGTATAAGCAGAAATGACACTGGGGACTGAGCACTAGGAAGATGTGAAATTTAAGTTGTTCCCTGACAATGAAAACACCATTTTCTTGCATTTGCAGATCACTTTCTATTAACTAATCTCTTCTCAAATTCATTCCCTACAGTATGGCAACCAGTATCCACATCTTACAAGCAACAGCTGGTTTTAAGTACCCTAGTAAATCTAGTAAATGATGTGAATCTTTTATTGCTTTGGGCTCTGTGCAGCCTCTGGTGAACTCCTTTAACTAATTTTGATTACATACTGTGTTCCTGTCACTGTCCTGGGACTCTGATGTGAGAAGCTCACTTAGAATTAGTTTACTGATGTCATGAAAATGGAATTCTTGTAAGTCCTCATTCTTCTGCTCACCTATGGGAGTAAGTCATGACTGTGAAACACTGGACACATTTCATTTGCACTCAGACTTTGAGAGACCATTTGTTTCCAGGTAAAAACATTTTAAAGGAAATTAAGTAATGGGGACAAATCTGGGGACTCAAGGTAAAAGTGTAGTAGGCATATCAGCCTTTGAGTTTTCACAAAAAAAAAAGCTCCCTGAGCTTGGGGAGGGAAGGACCAATCAACGGAGGGAAATGAAAGCCTGAGTTTCAGGGGTAAGAAAGATTGTGAGGAGAGAGAGAAAGGAAAAGGTACTATTAGGAGCCTCATAGGTTTGAGAGCCCTGATAAAAGAGGAAACACCAGACTTTGTAAGAGAGAAAATGAAAAACAGGGAACTGAAGCATTTAGTGATGTGAAGGCTAATACTCCTACAGGAAAGGAAAAATAAGAAAAAGATAGAAACAAGTAAATGACTAGGGCCACATCTTTGAGAAGAGCAGAGTTTCTTCCACACACTTAATAGATCAGGGTACAGCAGTTCTGTGGATTTCTCAGATAGTGCTCTAGGGGGTTCCTGTAGGCAGTGTCCAAACATCTAACCATAACAGACCTGCATCACAACCCAGAAGTTTGTTCTGTGTGGTTTCTGTTAAAGGAGGCAGATCAGGGAATTTAAAGGACTGAATATAGAAGAGTTTCAGTCACAGACATCTTGCAATCTATCTCATCCGTGGGAAGAGAAGACACAGAGTGCAGCACATCATCCCAGGAAGTTCTGCTCAACACTATCGGCATTTATTTTGGTGCTTTTCCTTATACCAAGTTCACAAACTTGACCTTTCTATGGTGTTCCTTCCCATTAAAAACCTACATGTGCTTAAACAATATCTGCAATAAAGTTTTAGTAAATTGCATAACCTTTGAATGTGGTTTTGCATTCATTGTTTCTGATTCCTTCAACCTCATTTTAAAAAGGCAAATATTATTGACTTTACCTTCAGTCTTGTGAAAAACACCAGACACAGACCCCAACTTGTAACCCACCTCACTTATGCCATTGCTTCGTGAGGACCCAGAAGCAAATTTTATATTTTACTTTGGCTAATTTATGTCAAAAATATCTATTGAGTTTATGATGTTTTAAATTATATTTTGAATAACTCAGTTGTCCTATCTCCTACATGTCTTGTGTCCAGAAACTAACTATAAAATTCAGTGACAGATTTCTCCAGAAAGTTGCACTGATCATTATTACTTTTGTTCACCAGATGACAGTCTTGACATTACCAGCTTGTCAAGTATTCCCCCACTTTCTTTTTCTTTTCTATATATTTTTTAGTTGTAGATGGACATGATAATTTTATTTTATTTATATATTTTTATGTGGTGCTGAGGATCAAACCAGGTGCCTCACACATGCAAGACAAGTGCTCTACTGTTATGCTCGGATTCGGGACCCTCAAAAGACCACCAGAGACCCAAGATCGATGTAAGCAGCAAAGAGGTGTTTATTGCGAGCTAGCTCGGTCCTCCGCGCGCATACACAGCAACTGGTGACGCTGAGAGGCCCCGAGCCCAGGGTTTGCAGCAGTTTTATACATTTTTTGGAGAGGGCAGGGACTTCACATACATCATAGCATCTCTTAGCAAATCATCACACACCGCAAGAAAATCAAATAACAACTCTAAAACATGATTAGCACATTCACTGGCGGGAACAAGTTGGCTAGGGGTGATTGGTCAGTACAAAAGGGGTATTCATTTGAACTGATTGGTTTAAGCCAAGAGGGGTGTACGTGCTGAACTACATGGTTTCCCAATATGTTATCAACCACCACAAACTACTGGGAGGGTAATCTGGCATCCCAGGTATTTCCCTGTCTCATGCTGATTGGTGGCTTCTAGGGGGTTGCTATGGATCCCCACCTAGCCTGACTGAGTCTGGGACACCTGGCGCAGCAGATCTCTCCTGTTATTTGTAGATAAACAACTTAGCAGGGTGGGAACGTGCCTAGGAGTACTCTGTGGGTTTTTCCAAGGACAAAGGTGATGTCCCTTCCTTGGACAGGCTTTGCTCTGAGGTAGAGGCTGGTTTTTCACTACCACTGAGCCACAACCCCAGCCCTACTACTCTCTTTTTCACAATTCTCCCTCAGAGAGTTGAGCAGTTAAATTTTTTCCTGTGATTTGAACTGAATGTAAAGCAAAACCTAAAATATACTGTGGGAAATGCCTGGGTTAATTGCAGATAATTTTCCTTATTTTTTCAACTCTTTTCAAAGTAGAGAAAATACAGGGTTTTTTGTTTTTGTTTTTGTTTAAATCAGGAGAATTGGTCCTTGGAATTCTCCCCTCAACATGGATTCTGAAAAGAGCCCTTTGGGATTTGGTTATACATTTTCAGAGGGTAGGTATATTTGACTCCAAACTCAAACTCTGTAACTGCCTAGATAGTTTAACTTCTGGAAACATAAGAGAGCCCTTAGAAAGGCATGATGGAAAGTCACATCAAGGTCAAGTTCAGGCATAGGATTAAAAAAAGGGTATTTGTTTCCTATTACTGCTGTAACAAATGACCACAGTAAAATTTGGCATCCTAAACAACATAAATTTATTATCTTAAAGTCCTGGAAGTCAAAATCCAACATGAGTCTCACTTGGCTCAAATTCAAGTGTGGGCAGGAATGTATGTCTTCTCTAGGTACACAGGGAAAATTCATGCCCTTGCCACTTCTAACTTAGAAACTGAACTGCTCCCATTCCTTGGCAAATGACCCTGTATTATTTTGATTTCTGTTTCCATCACCATATCACTCACTCTTCCTATTTCCCTCTTTTCCTAATAAGGACTCTTACATTTACATTGGGTGTGCCCATACAGTTCATAACAACCATTCCCTTTAAGATACTTACTCTCCTTTGGGTATAAACCGAGGAGTGGGATAACTGGGTCAAATAGTGGTTCCATTTCTATTTTTTTTTGGTAATTTTATTTATTTATTGGTATGTGGTGCTGAGGATCGAACCCAGTACCTCACAAGTGTCAGGCAAGCACCCTACCACTGAGCCACAACCCAGCCCCTATTTCTTTTTTTTTTTTTTTTCAGGAAACTCTATACTGCTTTCCAGAGTGGTTGCAGCAATTTGCAGTCCTAGCAACAATGTGTGAGTGTACTATTTTCCCTACATCCTCGCCAACATTTATTGTTACTTGTATTCTTGATAAATGCCATTCTGACTGGAGATAAAATCTCAGTGTAGTTTTCATTTTCATTTGCTAATGGCTAGACATGTTGAACATTTTTTCATGTATTTGTTGTCTGTTCTATTTCTTTTTTTGAAAAGTATCCATTTAGTTCCTTTTCCCATTTATTGATTGGGTTATTTGAGGGGAGGGTTGGTGTTATGTTTTTTGAGTTCTTTGTCTATCCTGAATATTAATGCCCTATTACACAATGGGTATTACTCAGTCATAAAGAAGAAT